GTAGGTCTGTGCCAGTTAGGGCCAGACTAGTTATAGTCATTCACCTGCTTTCACTCAGAATACGCCCTCTATAAGTAAACCACCCTCAAGCCTTTTACTCAGAAGCTATCAGACAGTGAGTATAGTCCGGGTTAGGGTTAGGTTTTGGGTCTAGGGAGGAGTCACTGCAGGTCATCACATGACAGTGGAGGAGTTGCTTTAGTCTAGATCTTTTGCTTACCTTGTGGGGGTGAAGTGTTGTCCACTTCATCTGTTGTTTCCTCCCAGGACCATCAAGAAGCTTGAACCATTTCCCCTGCACCCATTCCCATCCCCACCAGAGAATTCCAAGGACCCCAGAATGCTACACCTCACCCCACAATGCCCACCTCCACTGAAGAAGCAGAATTTGCCAGAATTGATGCCAAGTTCAATGTCGCCCATGAATTAAGGTCTTACTTAGATTGACATGGAGGGGATAGCCCCATCAAGGTAGAACAAGTAGCACCAGCCATTGAGGCCTTAAAAGACGCCAACTACACAGTTGAGGACAGAAGAACAGGAGAAAGAGTAGGAACAGTCATACAAGGAGTTTTCCACAGGTGCTATTACAGTGTCAGAAGGGGGTTCTTTTTCTTTTCCTAACTATTTGTCATTGACCCTGTAACTGTATGACTGATTTCATCACTTGATGTGTTTCACCTACATCAGTGTTTCATATCTATTGCGTTTCACCTATATCATGATTTACTTACATTATGTCTCATCTCTATCACGTTTCATTTTCATCACTGATACAACCCAGTGAAACCTGTTTCATACATATCACTGATCCAACTCAGTGTTTCATACTTATTAAACTCTACTCGCGCTGTCCTATTTAAGTAGCACTGCTCACGCTACTGTACTTTAGTTTTGTCCTCTTGTTCCTTCATAGGGACATCTTCAGTAATAGACTTAGTTGTCTATTCCAGTCTCAGTCTGAAGCATAGCTTCAACCAGTATACATTCTCAAACCACTGCCAGTTGCAGTGGCTCAGTCTACAAGTCTAGTTCTAGTATAGTGCATTAGCCTCATACGTAGCAGTACTTTTTGTCAGTGGTAGTCTTAAGCAGAGCTCCTGATCCTCAGTCATCAGGTCCCTTAACAGGTGCGCTTTGATTGAGTGCAGATTAAATTGCTCAGAATCATCCACAGCAGTATCAACAGAGTCATCAATATCTACATCAGCATCATCCAGACAAGGAAGGCCACCACAATACGAGCAAGAAGGGCAGTACAGACCCCAGCTGTATGGTAGACAGCAGGCAGCACCAGCATGACAAGCACAACAACAGAGGAGACAATGTGAAGATGCACCGTCTTTCCTTGACAAGAGAAAGTTAAGGGAAGCAAGAATTTGGGTGGTAGAATTAGTCCACAACAATGCAGAGTTCAGCACATCGCTGTCAGAACTAGACAAAAAGTGTCTGTTGTTCCTGTATGCCAGATTAACGTCAATCTGCAACATGGTAGAACTCAGGGGTTGTGATTTCTATGGACCACTCATCAGAAGGCTACTTCACCAGTTCTCAGAAAGGGTCATCAGTTTTAGAAATAGTCCTATAGGGCAGAGATTTTCCAGAGAGGGACGATATAGCAGAGTTGTCGAGCATGTGTTGTGACTAGGAGATTAGAGTCAGTTGGAGAGATACTCCCCAGTATTTAGGCCAGTTCTGGATTTAGCTTAGTGGCTCATCGATCAAAGAATCCAATTTGCCATGTTGAATGATATTGTTTATTTTCTGGAACGGACATTGGTGGTACACGGATTTACCAATAATCAGATCAATCACCTGGAATGAAACGTTCAGAAAATCAAGTCCACAAATAAATTCATGCAGAGGCAGAAGAAATTGAATAAGAAATGAATCCTGAAACAACAAATGAATTTAACTTAGGCAGAAGCAGAGTTGCTCAGTAATTTGTTAATGAACATCTACCAACAGCATTCTCAGATGCAGAAAAAGCGGCATTCAAAAGGTTGCTAGATAGAACACTAGGAATCATCTATGACAAAGTGAACGGGGTCTTAACCCAGGCAACAGGAAAGTTAAATGCATTGCGAGAAAGAATGCTGGCACTAGAAGAAACCAATATTGGCCAAGCTGTCCAGTTGATAGAGGCAAACCAGAAAATATTGGTGTTGGAATCAGGATTCACAATGAAGATCAATGAGTTACAGGAAAAGCTAGTGAGGACAGATGAAAAGGGAAGCAGAAGAGCAACAAGCTCAGGAGGAAATGAGATAATGAGGCCCAAGGTGGTGCAACCTAGCAAGTTTGCGCATAACACAAAGGAGCAGACATTTGAGCAGTTTGTTGAGCAATGTGCTGTGTGGTTCGTGCACCACATGATAGATAATGATAGACAGAAGATCAACGGTGTGCTGACCTTGCTTGAAGGCAGAGCATGCACCATAGTAAACAACTACTATCAGTGAGTCAAGAAGGATGAGCCGCTGGGTAGTTATTCAGATTTCCTCAACCAACTGAGAAGGGCATTCACAACAACTGACCCTCAAGAGGACCACAATGCCAAATTCAAAAAGATGTTGCAATGGTACAAGAGTGTCTCTATAAGGAATACAGCAAAATTCATTGGAGAATACTGAAGCCTAGCGGAATTAGTAAAACACAGTGACAAACAACACATTAGACTAATCAGAGATAGATTAGCCTTGACAATTCGCCAAGTACTAGCAGGTATTTAGAGATCCAAGTGGCTGAAGGAATGGTCATTATTTTGCGATCTGGTAATAGAGATAATCAGAGACTTAGGCTGTTAAGGGACCTAACAACTGAGGATCAGGAGTTCAACTGGTTAGCTGTTATTAGGACTTATACACGCTACAGTCCTACACTGATACTAGAGTTGCAAACTGCGCCGCTATAGCTGATAGTGGTTTGAGAGCATATACTGGTTGAAGCTGAGCTTCAGACTGAGACTGAGACTTGAATAGACAACTGAGTCTATAACTAGAGAACTGTCCCTATGAAGTGTACATAGGAACAGGAGGACAAAACTAAAGTACAGTAGTGCAAGCAGTGCTACTTAAATAGGGC